CCATATGTATTTATAATCATGTTCACACAAACACACATAAACTCACATAGACAATCACGCACACATCAAACACACACATAGAAACACATACACACACACGCACACACACGTACACACACGTACACACACACACGTACACGTACACACATACACACACACGCGCACACACACATATATATATACATATTTATATATATATAAACGTATAGAATTTTATAAATATGCAAGTATACGTACAAGTTCCGGTATGTTTGTATATTTGTACGTATGTATATATATATATGTAAATATATGTACATGCAAACATATATACGTACATACATACATACATACATAATGGCATACATAAACACACACACACACACATCTACATACTAATATATATATCTATATAAACATACGTATTTTTACAAGTACACACACACATATATATATATATACGTTTACATATACAAATATACATATACGTATACATACACATACATATACGGTTATATATTGATTTACACACAAATATATATATATATATATATATTACTACATATTATTTATTTATAATATATATATACTAATAAACTAAAATTACATACATACATACTTATATATATATATATATATATATATATATATATATATATATATATATATATATTCTTTATATATTCTTCATCATTTTGGCATATGTCGCAGATTACCCCATCGGGCATTTTGTTGTAAATGTTGGTTTTGTTTTCGAAAATTTTACGGGATAGTCATGTCGTATTACATTCTTGGTACTGATGTAAGTCGGGCGTATCTGAAAGGACTGAAGTATGCGAGCTCGATTGGTGTAGCACTGCATCGTTAACACCGATTTCCTCCAGGCGTACTCTACCTCGCATACGAATCGCATACACGAAGGATAAAATCTAATAAATGTGTACGTGCATTATATACAGAACTCATTGATGTGGGTAAGACACAGAGTGCTCTGAAGGCATTGCACGATGTCATCACCAGCAAACGTCACCGATCCTGGACCAAGACGTCTGAATCCATCATCACCCTGTTCTTGGAGTTATGTGTGGATCTCAAGCGCGGTAAGACTGCCAAGGATGGTTTGCACCAGTACAAGAACGTGTGCCAGCATGTCAGCATTGGTTCACTAGAGACCGTCATTCGCAAGTTTATCCAGATGTCCGAGTCGAAGGCTGAGGAGGCGTCTAAGAAAGCCGAGGGCAGTGAGGTAAGCGATGTCGACTGAAAAAATATTCTTTGATATTGTTAGGTGTTCGATTGTGGCAGTGTGACATTTAATGTTCATGCCGAATTGAGTAGTCAGTATACTTCTTGCTACAACAAGAGGCGTCCGATTGTTTTAAGAGTGACATGTTATGCTAGTAGGCACGAATAGGAAATTGAATATTGGACTATCGAGAGCAAGTTTCATGATTTCTGTTCAGAATTCTTATTCAGACCCACTGTTACAGTTGAGCGGTAACAACAGCTTTACGCGATGACCAATTCGCCAAGTATTGTTGACAATACACTCGGGTATAGTGTACGCCATTTTTATATTTTAAATTGACATATCTGGCCATGCCATAGCCTAATTGCATCTTTAACGTTTTACACATCCATCCACGGGTATACACAGACCTCTGATATCGTGGTCGATGATTTGGAGAACGATGCTACCCCGGAGGATCTTCTGCTTGCCACTACTACCACTGAGAACGCGCAGGATCGCACAGATCGCGAGGTGGTGACGCCGTGGTTGAAGTTCCTATGGGAATCGTACCGCACTGTTCTTGAGATTCTGAAGAACAACCCCAAGTTGGAAGTCCTGTACAAGGAGACTGCCGAGCACGCGTTTGTGTTCTGTACCAAATACGAGAGAAAGACAGAGTTCAGGTGTGTAACGTCAATATTATAATGCGTGCTTGTGTTTCATTAATAAGCTACTGTGCGTGTCGTTTGCAACATGCGACAATGGTGAAAGCGCAATATTTCCAGCTCACTCCCAATTTTATGTAGAGCACTAGAATTAATAACTCCTGGTCACCTGTTCTCATCCTTGTCCCTATTTTGACGTGCCTCATTTTGATCTGCTTAGACGTCTGTGCGACTTACTCCGTGGGCATCTGGAGAACGTCAAGAAGTACGCCAGCCAGTCCAACAACATTAACCTCAGCAACCCGGAGTCGCTCAGCCTGCAGATCGACACACGCTTCTCACAGTTAGAGGCCGCTGGTGCTCTGGAGCTATGGCAGGAGGCGTTCAAGAGTATCGACGATCTGCACAAGCTCATGAGCATGTCTAAGAAGGCCCCCAAGCCGCAGATGATGGCCATGTACTTTGATAAGCTACACGCCGTCTTCTGGGAGGCCAAGAACCACGCGTTCCACGCCTACGCCTGGCAGAGACTGTTCCTTATGTCTACAGAGCAGAAGAAGTATGTCTAGATTTGTTCCGACTGACCTTCCCACGTTGTATGTTCCATGGCAGATCGTTGAAGGTCATTTTTTAATCCACGGGTGAATACGTGATATTTTTTTTAAACTGTTAATACCATCGAGCGGGTTTCTCACCTATACCCCACCCTCATATTCGTCACCATAGAAATCTGACAAAGGAAGAAAGCTCGCGTATGGCCACCAATGTGTTGCTTGCCACCCTTTGCATCCCCGTAAAGCCCGAGAAGTCGCACCTGGACATTGAGAGCTCTGCCGCAGAGAAGAACCAGAAGCTAGCTTCATATGTGGGACTACAGTCACCCCCTACCCGTGTGTCTTTGATCAACGATCTTCGCAGCAAGAATATTTTGGTAAGTGAGGTGTTTTCGCCTATATTCGTTTTGGCTTGTCATCAGATTAACGGCTTTTTACTTATTATGGGATGAATGGGTATTGTCCGCCAGAGCTGAATTTACTGGGTGGTGTAATCACATTAGTATCTGTATATGGTTTGCAATCTCGCCTTTGTTTATAGCCAATCTTGACAACCAAAGTTCTGTTAATCGGTAACTGCCTCATAAAGTGTATCTGTAGAATTGAGTGAATAGTGCTTTGAAAAGTAAATGAAGTTTATATGCCATGGTTGGGGTTGAATGTGTGGCGAGGGTTGATCGCACTGCCATTGACCTGACGCGTCAGGGGCGGTGGTCCAGTGAGCTCGTGACAAATCTGTTTGCCATTTTCCTCGCGGCGTAGTGCTCATCTGCGCTCTTACACGTCAGACACACTTTTGCGGCACAATCCTCACACATTCACTTCTACATATGCAGTCGGCCGTCAACCCCGAGCTTCAGGAGCTATTCCACTGGGTGGAAAATGAGTTTCACCCTCTCGAAATGAAGGAGAAAATGGCCCCACTCTTGAAGTACATTGAAGCGGAACCCTCGCTTGCCAAGTACCTCGCACCCCTGCGCCAGAACGTACTTATCCGTCTGCTGCAACAGCTGTCCAAGGTATGCATGTGTGCAAGTGGCTTGTATTTTCTCATGACTTCTGAATGCTTGGTTTCTTTCGTACAGCAGGCACGAATGCCAGTATCGTAACTTGCATGTAGAGTGCATCCTTGGGTGTATATTGAGTGGAGCAAGCATATTTTAGTTGCTTATGGATCATGTACATAACAAACTCTTATATATTATATGTATTGTTTGATGAGGTGAAGAATGAGTGAGTGTATAGACCTGTGGTGGATAAACCCCCGTGTGAGCTTCTGGTGTTGAACATATTTCGGCGTTGGGCGGACACACTTCGGACACCCCTTCTCTCTCAAATACCAACAGTACATATACACACATTCATTCCATTGTCTCTAATATACGCACACTTACGCTCCCTGCAGGTTTACCAAACGATGCGCATGTCTGCCCTGTGCTCACTTGTTGAATTCTGCACCAGACACGAGATCGAGAAGTTTATCGTGGACGCTGTCAAGAAGGACACTCTACAGGCTCGTCTCAATCACCGCACAGGTATGTCGTGCACATTGCAAGGGTTACGGTTAGTTTTAGATTCTTGCTGCATCAATTGCGTTCGTTAGCGTAGTGGAGGAGTGTGTGTGGTGACAAGGGGTACTTTATTTCGGGTGCTGTGTATGTGAGCTGGTTTCATTTTTGATGGATGTATGCATCTGCAGTGTGTATTTGTAGACGAGCGAAACCAATTCAGGACTTTGAATGGACACATAGTAGATGCGTCTATCGCCTACTATGCCTGATCGGTGGTCGCCTTACCTGTCTTGTACCCAATTCTACGAAAGATATATGTTGTAGATTGATTCATGAACGACAATTCAAGAGAGAGGCTATGATGACAAATGCTATAGTGGCGAGTGGGTGGCCTATTAACTTAAGCTCAACAGCCACCTCAACATCTATGAGTTCTTCTTCTTTCCACTGAGCTTCTCTCTCGATATTGATATTAAAATGCTCCATATATATCCGCGATTGCTGGCTCACAATGGTCTATATTCCGTCTACTCTCTGAAGGGCTCCTTTTTGCTTCTTATAGTCCGCGTCTGTGCACCTTTCATGTCACGCAATCCCGGACGTCTGCATTTATAGTCCTTCTCGTATCTGTCCACTCCCTCAACACGTGTTGATTATTTTTCCAGTGTCTTCACGCATCAACTGAAACTCTATATAAATTTCAACACCTTTAGGTACCGTCACATTCGGCGCCGATCTGTTCTACAGTTCCGAAACAGCAGCCACCGACAACAACGATGCCAGCTCTGGTGGCGCATTCCACTCGTCGCGCGCTATGCAGTCCTCTTACATGCGTGACATGCTAACGGACCTCTCCGCAGGTCTGCACAACGCTATGGGTATGATTTACCCTGAACGCCGTATTGACCAGGCTCAGCGCAAGCACATTGCCTTCCAGAAGCACGTGGTGTTGATGGGACGCGAACACAAGAAGGTAAGTAATCGCTGTTTTTTTAAGGTGTATATATACATATAATTACCGTTCATGGAATGGATTTTTCTGATCAAACTGTGTTTCATGGAGGTTTGGTATGTTGTCTTGATATAATGTTACAGAGTGCGCTTTATTTGTTAGTACCAAGACAAATAAACCCAAGCAGAAGCTATCGAGAGAGAGATGTTATGATGACCAATGCTATAGTGGCGAGTGGGTGGCCTATTAAATTAAGCTCATCAGCCACCTCAACATCTATGAGTCCTTCTTCTTTCCTCTGAACCTCTCTCTCGAAAGTTGGAATCTTCGTCGCACTCTAGCAAATTCAGACAAGTCTTTGCTTATTGCGTTCTGCCCTATATGCATTCTGCAAGCAACCAATGTGGCCGGTAGATCGACACATCTTGTAGTCGGGGACGACATGGTCTCACACAGTCAAGTCACAATTGTTTTATGTTACACAGAACCTTGAGCGCAAGGTATTGATTGAGAATCGCAAGGTGGAGAAAGAGGAGGCTCTTGCCAACCGATCAAAGGCTGCGGCCAAGCAGAGGGAGGCCCAACGCGTCAAGAATGCCAAGATTGAGGTAAGTGTATTGTACAGTTAAAAATGAACTGTGCACCGCTAGGTTTGAAGCAGAGTATCATCAGTATATACTAACAAACATGTTCATAAACCTCGTTTATGATGATACTTGACCCTGGGTTCTATCTATTCCCCAGAGATGAAAGTAGTATGTGCACTGAGGGGTGTTACACTCTGTTTCTCGGCGACCAACTCGGGAAAATTTGAGTTAAAATGAAGCAAATGTATGTGTCGCACCTGTCGAGGGCACCTTCGTTTTGTATCCTGCATACACACGAACATATATTGGTTGACATATAATAGGCTGAGCGTCTTGAGAAAGAAACTAAGGCCAGAGAAGAGGAGAAGCGCCAGCGTGAGCTGGAGGCTATCCGTGCGGCTGTGGAGCCCGCGCAGAACGACAGAGAGGATATTCTGAAACAAGTCGAGAAACTCGAGAAGGAGAAGAAGGACATGCAGGGCAAGCTGAAGGTAAGGCTGCACGCGTATGGTAATGTGGTACGCTAGTTTAGTCTTGTCGGAATTTGATCTAGTATCAATTGTATTGAAGTTGGGTTTGAAAGTAAATTGGTAAAGCTTGGTAGATTTTCTAACAACTGCTCAAATTTTCTAATATGACAGGGTATCGAGCGCAAGAACGATCACTTCGAACGTGCCAAGCGTCTAGAAGAGATTCCCAAGATCGAGGCCAGACGTGAGCAGTTGAAGGCTGATGATGTCATCTTCCACGAATCCCAATACGCTAATATCCTTGAGGACGCCGAGAAGCAGCACGTTAAGAACTTGGGGATGAAGAAGCGGCTGGAGAAGATGTCTGCGGACAAGGATCTCTACATCGAGAACATCAATGCCCAGGCCCAGGCCGATTATGAGGAACGCAAGAAGAAGTTCGACGGAGAGGTGGCCCGCACACTTGCGCAGCGAAAGAAGGAGCGAGAAGAGCAGAAGGAACAGCGCGCAGAGGAGAGACGCCAGGCAGCGGCTCTGAGAAAGGTAAAGTTAGTTCCCGTCTAGTTTTAATCTCCTCAGTTGGGAGTAGTAGGTCAGTTTAGGGCATATCTTCTGCTCGGAAAGCACACGCATATAGACACTAGTCAAAATTTGGTTGTGCCGAAGGTGCGGGTTTGCACGTGAAAGATGTCAATGCATTCTAATCGTATGCCTATATCACAAACAACAGGAGGAAGAACGTTTGGAAGCCGAGGCTGCTGAGCGTGCTGCGGCCGAGGAGGCTGAGTACCAGAGGAAGATGGAGGAGAAGAGGGCTGAACAGTCTAAGTTGGACGAGATTGCCGCCGTGCAGCGACAACGCGAAGTCGAGGCAGAGGAGCGCCTGAAAGAGAGACGCCAGAAGGACTTGGTAAGCATATTTCGAGTAAACAGGTTTAGTAAAATTGTGGAGTTATCACAAGAACATACTTATTTTGATCGACAGCATGTCTGTATGTACAAGGGCATTCATCTTTGTTTGTTTGCAAATTTGTCTCCGAGCATTTATATATATACCGCAAAATCACACCATCATTCCCTCAGGCTATATATAACCTTGCACACGCTCGTCTTTTCGTTCCTTCACTCAACTCATCTTTTCTATTACTATTCCCTGCACTCCACTCAGGACGAGATGGCGGCTCAGCGTGCAGCCGTGCGTGCCCGCGAGAACGCGGTTCCAGCGGCTGGTGGCGCTCCCTGGAGACGCGGCGGCGACTCGCCCGCGGGAGGCGATGAACGCTCGCCCAACGCTGGCCGTGCGCAAGGACCTCCAGAGAGACGTGGATACGAGTCACGTGAGCGTGAAGCTCCGGCCGCCGGTGGATGGCGCAGAGGTGGCGGTGGAGATAGCCACAACAACCGTGGCGGCGACCGGGGTGGCGATAGGTACGGTGGAGGTAGAGACGGAGGGTATGGCCGCAGAGATGCATCGCCCCGAAGAGACGGCCGCGACGGAGTGCGTGACGGAGGCTACAACTCGCGTCGTGGTGACGACAAGGGCGCACCACAGGGCAGGGTCGATGGCGGCGGTGGTGGCTGGAGAAGGGATGACCCCCCCGCGGGTGGAGCTAGAGGCGGGGACCGGTACCAAGCCCGAGGCGGAGGCGGCGCGGACAGAGGAGGACGCGACCAGGGCAGGGGAGGTGCTGAGCGGGATTGGGGGCGTATCAGGTGAGTTGCGTTCGAACTTGGGTGCTTGAGGTGTAGAGTTTTTTGTTTTTGTTTTTAGGGTTAGTTGGATAATTGCTGTGCTCTAATGTGTTACGCATGTGTGTTCTCGTGTGTGTTGGCTATTTTGATATGTACGCTGATGAAGGTTTTCAATGTAACGCATAGGCAAATTTTATACAAATTTCGTAACTTTTCATTTCTTTGTAAACTACAGAGCGACATCGCCCGCTGCCCCCCCTCGCAACACCAACGAGAATGCCCAAAGGGATGGACCTTCACCCACACCCAAGAAGGACAACGCACCAGTCGTGGATGACGATGGCTTTACCACAGTACAGAAGAAGGGCAGACGCTAAGTCACCTGGCGCATTATTCTCGTGCTATTTGATGGGTGCTAAACCTGTTTGTTAGGCTGGTTGCTGTGCACGTGTGTTGACTAAACCACAACACTAGAACATATTTATAATCAGCCGATGAAAGGTTGTATCTAGAAAGTAACGCGAGTTGTACATACTGTCAACGTGCGATCTCGAAACTCCACAGAGTGCTGAGCCAAAACAGCTTGCCATTGTGTGAGAAGTTGCGGAGTGTATGTCATCGACATTCGATCCGCATAACGTGGGCGGCCCAATGTTTAGGAATGCTCGGGGTCAGAATGCGAGACCGCTTCATCTCTAATGAATCCGAAATAGGAAATACACATGAAATAATGTAGAAAATACGAGAGCTAGAGCATGCGAGTCTGCATCAAGTACATCACACCCCGGCACAAACCAGAACCTAGCGTCACGATGCGAAGTGATGGTACGTTTAGTAACAATAAACATCTTTTAGTATATAATTTATAGTGCATGGATTTTACTATTTTTACTTTAGCGGTTGCCTAGGTCAAATGCGAGGTCTGAACATTGGGATCGTGGGTTAAATGGTGTGACGATCCTTACATATGTTTCAAAGCCATAAAAGCTACGTTTTGTAATTCCTTGTCGGTCCAATGATGTACTATTGCGCTATGTATGTCTTGACGAAAGTCCGCATCTCTTAGCTTGAGTTGATTTCTGCGTTTCTTCAGAAGATTGCCAAGAAAAAAGCACGACAGCCGCTGTACTTCAACACAGTCAGGAAAAGTCCTCATAGCTATTTGTACATCGATGTAGATCATCAACTTCACGATAGCTGAAGTAGCCTGCTTTCCCTTGCGGGTAAGTGCTGCTAGACTTCCGATCCCATTTATCTGCATCTCTAAATTCTGTCTGTGCGCTTGCATTGCGATTTGAATCTGAACATACACTTTTGCTTCGGCCAACTTAGACCGGTTCTCCGGTGTGCAGCACAATAGAAGCAATGTGCCCAGACAGTTCTTCTGCACCATCGCCGAATCTCTGTGGTCCCTCATTGCCTGTTGCAAATCAAAATGCATATCCGCCTCCCCAAGCCGTACTTGATTTTTCGGATTCAAGGCCAAGCAACCAAGTGCTCCACATGCAGATGCCTGAACAGCACTGTCCGTTTTGTGCCGCTGCATTGCCTTCCGTATTTGAAGGTGGACATTCGCTGCACCCAACCTGGTTCTATTCTCGTGATCCATGCAAAGATTAAGTAAGGCCCCACACGCTACACTTTGCACCTCTGCCTCATTTGCGTGCATGTCCATAGCACGCAATAGGTCCAAATGTACACCAGCTTCACCCAATCGTCGGCAATTCACCGGGTCAAAAATTAAATTCAGTAGAGCGCCACAGGCAGCCTGTTGGATATGAACAGATTGCAGATGCTTGCGCATAGAGTTTTGAATGTCCCGGTGAACGCCCACTTGGCCGAGAGGGATACGATTGTCATCCTCCAGAGAAAGTATAGACAAGGTCTCCACAATACGCTTCTGTATGTCTTCGTCATGGTGATGTGCCTGCATGTACTGTCTTAGTTCAATTACCACACTCGATCCAATCGCACTTGGAATTTTCACCAGATTCTCGACATCATGTATAGTCGTCAACACCTCAACTGCCGCTTCGTCTGCCTCGTCATCAACGCAAGGTGCGGGATGATTTCTTTCCATATCAGCCTGTGTCAATTATGGAGGAACTTATCAATACAAAGCCATTGTGTTGATCCTTGGTTGCGTATCGAACTATTTTAGTATCGCGCAAAATTGGTTTCTTAGAAAAACAGTTGTAAATACTGTGCTTGTTTTCGCCACTAGTGCTGAATACGCAATTTAAATATATGCACCAGCTTTTGATGTCAGTCGCTTAAACAAAATATGATAACTTCACGAAAGCAACTAACCAACTTACCAAAGAACCACACTCGCCACAGATGATACACTTCACGCGCATGGACTTGTGCCTCCGGCGTAGGAAATGAGATGGTTGAATCTCACTCGCCCTGCAAGTGACGTTACAATTTGGGCACCTCTCCTTCATGCTCACACATCTTCGAACACAATCGTTGCAAAAAACTGATCCGCAGCATTGAACTTCCGATGGCTCTTTTGCGATACTCAAGCAAACTGTGCAGATTGTTCCCTCTTCAAGTACTGAACCAGGACCATCTTCTGTAAACTCGTACTCGAACATGTTAAACTGTGCTGAGAAAACCGGGGCCTTCGACTATATATTGTTCCTTGGCAGAAATTTGGACAGGGATTGATATTGGCTCTAACAGTCCACTGACCCATACCTTCACAAGACTTCAAAGTCACAAAATTCGGAGACAACCCGAAGGGCAGAAATTCTGAATCCTTCTAACTTCAAAGTTTCAAACCCAAAATCGAAAATGAGTTTTTGTTTTGGAGGTTTTACAGTTTGTTATATTTACAATAGTTTTTTGTGTTAAAAAACCAAAATATGTTCCTTTACAAGTGGGGTTCGTGGAACTATAAAGTTTAAACCCC